TTTCTTTTATTTTTTTTCCATCTGTAAATATGTCTGGAGCGAATTGTCCGCTTCTTCCAATTCTTGATTCGTAGCAGACGACATTTTTGTGGGAATAAACTTATCACAAAATAAACAACAAAATAAAGCGCCAACTCCAAAAGGAGAGAGTGTAAAAATGTTACTATTCTGTTTGAATTTATATATATATATATATATATATATATATATATATATATATATATATATATATATATATATATATACACACGAAAAGAAAGCATGTCTTCCTTTGATCACCGTTTTTTTATTGAATGACAAAAATGATACAATGAAAATATAAAAATAAAAAATCCTGTATAAAGATTTTATCAAAACTTTGTCTTTTATACTGTCTTTTTTTGTTTGTTTACTTTTTGTTACTTTTTTTATTTAAATTGTCCTAAGTAGTTTACATTGAGGATGAATCCGACTGTTAGTAATAAAATAATCTTGCTTACATTGACGTCATAAAATAGATATTTAGTGAAACTTGATAAACTCTAAAGAAGAACCTGCAATTTTATTTGTCCTGACTTGGCATCTCAGCTTTCCTACCACCATGACGTAGTTTTCCTTGCGCCTTTTAAATAAATACTTTCAAGCCTATTTTTTTCTGATGAACTATCCGGTATGGTACCTATATTTCATGAATTTAAGCGCTGTACTAAATTGGCGCCAAAGTTTTATCATTTAATAGTTGAAATGGCTAGATGTAACCGTAAGTACTATACTAACATTTTCTTCTCTCGCACTTATCGCCTGTGGAACTTTCTTCCAGCTTCTTGCTTCCCGGTCAACTCTTCAAAAATTTAATTGCAGTGTTAATCTTGTCTTCTTAATTCTTGTTATTTTATTATTTTCTCTCCTTAATAGTGTTGTGTTTCTCATAGTCTCTCACACTCAATAACCCCTTGTATCTTAGTGGCTTTATTGCCTTGATTGGATTGAAATAATTTTTAAAAATCGCTATTTAGTGGTACAGTGAACGCACACAATAAATGAACCATATCAATTCCAAAAGTTTGATCAATTCATTTTTCAGTTGATAGACGACTGAGCACAAGTGCTGGAAATGGTAAATGCCTGGAAAGGCTACACAAAGATGATCCAACATTGGATTTCATGAAGCTAATTTAACAGGTCCCTATTAAGATAAACGAATACATAATCTTTGTTAAAGTTTATATATATTTATATATTAGTATGTAAATCTCAATCCACCTATATGACAGTGAATTCTGTGAAGTTTCCTCACAGATGAAAAAGAAATCTGAAGCAACCGAGATGTGGTTCTACAAAAGGATTTTGAGAATAACATGGGCTGAACATGTGAGCAAAGAGCAAGTTTTACGGAATAAACAAAAAGAACACTTTTACTTAGAATCAGAAAGGGACGACAGGAATTTCTAGGACACAAAATAAATTAAGACGGTTTGGAGAATTTAGCACTCACCGGAATATACTGAATGCGAGAGGGGTACAGGAGAACAAACAGTGACATATTTAAGGAGTTTTTGTAAGTCGATAGTAGAATAGAGACTGGGAGGGCTAGTAAGGAGACAAATATCACTTAGCTCTCCGAAGGTTAAGAAGTTATGGACGACCATAATCTCCCGTGTCATGGAAGAACAGAGCATATAAAAAGAAGATATATAAGAATATAAAACCGCAAACTCAACATTATTAATATGAATCACTGAGTAAATCCCCCAAGAAGATATAAGTATACAGAGTGCGAAGGATTAATTGTCGATATGTTATATTTTTAACTTCGCGCATGCGCGTTTATTTATTTTTGATTTTGTCGATTGCACAGTATATAGGGTCAGTTGGGCACCGTCTGTAAGAAAAAGAGCACCATGACACAATTCACTCCGCCCGAAATTTGGAAACAGCATGCTGTACTGCTTAGCATTCGAGCAGAAAGCACCAATACGAACATTTCAGGCTATTTGGATGCCAATCTGAGGAAGGTGCAGAGAAAAAAATGGATGATATATCCAGTCAACATCATGGTTTTTAGAGTGATTTCTAGTGATGGCGAAGTTATGCCTCCATTTCATCGTCCCACAGGGCCTCCGACTCAACACGGAGGCCTACATCAAATTCCCTGAGGAGTTAGTGCTGTCCTGGGTCAAGAGGGGGGCTGCTGAAAGACCCTAAGTCTGGCAACAGGACTTGCACCATGCCACACAAGCAGGAGAACCCAGTCATGCCTGTCAGACAATTTCTGCGACCACATCACTCCTTACACCTGTCCACCTAAATTCCAGACTGCAACCCCTTTGATTATTATGTGTGGGCACAGAGAGAGACCCAAAAACTCCTTGTAACACCAAAGATGAACTGAATACAAGAATTGTGGCAGCATTCACCAACTTAACCAAGGAGACCGTCCAGAAGTGTTACAGGAGATTCCAAAGTCGTCTGGAGTCCATCTGTGAAGTCAATCGCGATTTTATTGAATAAATTTACTCTGTAGTATTTCAAGATATTTTCGTATAATTTTGGTAAATATATCTGTTAAAATGAGATGTTAGTGCGATTTTCATTTTTAGACGACAATTTATTCATCGCATTCTGTATTTGCATTAGCTTGTAATCACTTTTAAGAAGCTAAGGTTAATCACCATGATATGTCTTGGAATTGATAGTGGAGAGGTTTTTCGCTGCCTCCTCCACGGCGATTTATTGAGACAACACCTCTTGTTAGCTGGCCGTTGACTCGTCAAGAGCTCCTGAAGTAAGCAATACATAGTGAGCATTGAGTAAATGAATGGCGGAACAGGGTTTAGAAGAAACTGCAAAACGATAAAATTTATTAAGATCTACAAAAGATAAGAAGTTGTGGAGAGCCATGATCGCCTACATCCTGAGAGATTGAGAGATAGCACATGAAAATTGCTATCAATCAATCACTATGGATAAACGCTGGGCTTTCAATTTTTTTCACATTGATCAAGACATGTCCCTTATTTTTATGGCCTTTTCACGACATTTCAGAACGTACATTGTGTACTGACCTGTTGATGATTAGAATCGCCACCAATCCAAAGGGGAGGGGCCTGTATGAAGCTGGCACACCCCCTGTTTGGCCAGAAGGACATGCGTAGAAAAGCGAAATTTGATTTACCTTTTTTTATTTTCTCTTCACGTTGCCATAGGGACAAGACGTGTTTCTTTTCCACTCCGCATGGCTTCATAATCCACAGCGAACCGCGTGTCGCATATAACATAATACTATCACTACACTTTCGTCAGTTCGAAAAAAAGTCATATCTCTCCTACAACCTACCACATAAATATATATCTCCCTGTATCAAAAAATCGCTTTGAGCAACTGGCAATGCCAGTACAAAATGAAGGAAACGTTAAACTTATGATACAAAATGATCGGAAATTTCCATAGAAACACTCAGAAATATGTCAGTTCTTTAAGATACACACTACATATATGACGTCCATTTTGTTCAGAAATACCTGCACCGTCAGCTATATACAACTGTTTTCTCATATCAATGATTAAAAATGTATTTCACCGAATGAATATTTAGGTCTTAAAGAAGATAATCTGTCGTCTGGTTTATAAAATTATAAGCAAAAAGCTTTACCAAATAACAGAAACCACATCACTTGAAGACTTCCAGGAGTAACAACAACAACAAAAAAATGGATAACACATGTAACCAGAAGAGAAAATAATATAATCAAGTTGATGCCTTTCCACAATATCTTAAACAAAAGTGTAGGAAGGAAACTACAATAAATACTAGAAAGACTGATAACAGTTAATTAGTGTTTTATGTACATAAAAATAGATAGACATGAAAATCAACATCTTCATCTAAACACTGCTTCATGCGTTTTCTGAAGTTACACTCTCTCTTACTGGCTTCCTTAAACTTCCATGTCGAGAATAGGGCCACAGCCTCACCACACTAGGTGTTGCTAATCCGATTTCCGGAGCAAATAATCGCTAGTCCTATGCACAACGGTTTGAATTCAAAGCTGTATTTTTCCTAGACTGGTTACCAACCAAGGCTAGTGATCGAGTCTGCGCTGCAATTTAATCCATATCTGGTGAAGACGGATTCCTACATTTCCAAGGGGTATTTGTACAAAACAGAAAGCAACGATCTCTGCAGGGATTTGAAACCAACACGCCTTTTTCTCTTTCTGAACTATTAACTATTGCACCCTCTGCACTCATTTTACGCGAGAGAATTTGAATATATCCAAACGTGAATAATAAAAAAAAATCCATATTGTTATTTACAGAAAAATATCTCTTTTAAAAATGGTTTGTTGTTCTTGATATTTATCAAGATTAACTTATCACGACCCAAGGCCAGAATCGAAGATTGTATTGCGTTTTCCTCCTAGCAAAAATTTTCTGCCCGTTTTGAAAAATCAGTATAAAAAGCCCTGATGTTTTTACCTGATCTCAACACCAATACCATTGAAAATACGCTACTACTTTATCCATAAGGTAGATTAATGTACCCTTTTTTTATAACATTCTATATATGCTATACGTAATAAACTTAACATTAAATTTATGACACTGAAAGATTTATGAAAACAAGTTTCCTATCAAATTAAAACCAGATTGATTTTATATTTAAACTTTTCTAGTTTTAAAGTAACCCAAATTTAAGTTCGATTTATAAGCTACCTATATCACATTTACCTCTGTGTATCTTATATTGATTCTTTAAGCGTAGGTTAGAAGTGTCATATATATATATATATATATATATATAAAATACAGAGGGATATATATATATATATATATATATATATATATATATATATATATATATATATATATATATATATATATATATATATATATATGATTATGTTTAGGATATATACGAGGTGCGTCAGAAAAGTAATAGGACTGAGTGTGCTGTGTGAGCTATGAGTAAAGTAGAGACTAGCGAGTTACATCACCGCGTGACATCATATCCGGGAAGCATATGACATTGATTTCTCCTCTCTCTCTCTCTCTCTCTCTATCTATCTATCTATCTATCCATCTAAGCCATTATGTTTCTTCACGTGCTTTTATTCACAGATCGCAGTAAATGCATTTTTATGCATTAATATTTAAGTCGCTTTTATAGAAAAAAAATTCAATAGAATTACCGAAAATGCAAAATATGGACTTACGGCCACATCACGTTGCAATATCGGTTCCCGGTCTATACTTCAAGGGTGACCACTTGAGAATACCAGGTGCTGTAATCTTGGATGTGTGGCTGGTGTAATGAATAATGACTCGGAATTATTAACTGAAGAGCCGAGTTTCAATTCCCGTTGACTTCAGTTATATTCACCTATGCGTAAATACCTTTGCGTTAAAGTATGAATCCACCTCTTCTCCGCCCAGCTATGGGTTAATCAGTAAAACTTGTATCACTAAACAATTATTATCTAAAGAAAAATTTTAAAACATCCCTACAATCTAAAAATATTTTCTGGTTTTAAATAACCTGCGAAGTGTTGATAAGTCGTAAAAAACAAGTCAATCAATCAAGCAAGCTAGTAAAATACGGAAAAAAAATTAAATTATCAGTTCTGGGAGCAAAGAATTTGCATGCGGATAAAGAACGAGTTAATAATTTGAACGTCTTTTGAGGTTCAGGTTCGCTTCAGACCTCAAACGGAGCTCATATATACGCTACACTTATAAAGATGCTGGAAAAAATGATCGCTTCTTTGTACAACTCCAAAATAATACCTAACGCTTTCTGTCATGTTTTATAAAATCAGAATTAGACTTAAAACATATCTTTGCATAAGTCAGATCAGTCAGATGTAACATTGATGTTATATCTGGACTGGAGACGCCGAATCTTCACTTTCCTTCTTTGTTCAAAATAGTCTAGTCTATCTTGTAAACGATAATCTGTTCTTCATTCTACTGCCTTTATACTACAGGCAACGTTTCAATCCTATTCTTACTGTACTGTATCACTATTTACATGACAAATGTTCATATAAGCCTCATTCTTTAGTTCCACATGTTTAGACCTTTAGAGCCATGCTACATCTAAGGGGGTGAATTACAGCCGTATTGTATTTGTAAGGAGGAAGTCCATCCAGACAGTTTTTTCTTGAGAACTGTTTCATCTGTGAAAAGAACGCCAACCTAGATATTTCCCTGAAAACTACACTTTTAATCATTTTAAGTCAAAGGTAACTCACTATCTATCCTTCCTATTCTCATAATCATCCCATCATTTTTACAATCATATCACACACCACATTCAGCACCCTTCTACCTTGAGCGATTCCTGAGCTTTGTAATTGGTGAATATTAGTATTAAAAAAATAACATATCCAGTAGAATAGATAGAATTCATGGATAGTGTAAAATAACTTATTGAGTAAGAAATTTTCTTTAAATCTTTTTACTTACTTAAGTCATACATTTTACCTACTTAAGTCAGTAGTGGTTTTCTAAGTGTAGTTAGAATACTGCACAAGGCTGAAAGCGTAGAGCACCCAATGAGGATCGAACTCACTGCTGAGTCGTAATTGATCTAGAGAGACAAGTTTGCTAACCATCACATCACGTCGTAGGGCCCAAACAGTTTTCTAAACTAATCTTAGATGTGACATAAGGCCGAAAGTGTGGACCACCCAATGAGGATCAAACTCACCATTCAGTGGTAATTGATCTAGCAAGAACAAGCTTGCTATTACGCCACGTCGAAGTGCTCCTCTATCACGCTTTAATGATAAGGCGTCACTTTTTTTGCGTACTACTCTCTCTCTCTCTCCCTTTCACACACACACACACACACACACACACACACACACACACACACACACGATAATAATAATAATAATAATAATATATACAAACAACGAGATATCTCAAGTATGAAGACGCTAATAATATTAACAGATAAAAGTCTTTGGAAAAGAGAAAATTCATTATTTATTTCACGTTACCGGAACACAAGGCCTTACAGAGCGTATTATGCATCAGTAGTGCCATCTAAAGTTTCTGGGACAGATAATGAGGAAGGAGGGTATGGAGAATCTGATACTCATGGGTCGAATAGAGGGAAAGAGAGACAAGGGAAAACAATGCGTGGCATAGCTGGCGGACCTAAGCAAATGGATGACAGAACGTGGTCTGAGGAGGAAGCAGAGGGAAGGAACTTGTTGAGAGCTGCAAGGGATAGAGGGAGGAATAGAGCCATGATCGCCTACGTCCTGAAAGGACATAGAACATAAAAAGAAAGAAGTGTCATAAGGTAACTTGAAAGTTCGCAATTTCTTCTTCTTCTTCTTCTTCTTCTTCTTCTTCTTCTTCTTCTTCTTCTTCTTCTTCTTTCAGGACGGAGAAGATCATAATTCTTCACATTTTTCTGTCTTTTGTAGCTCTTAATAATGTTTGGCTTTTGGCTATCTTTGCATTTGGGCAGTTCTTTTTCCGTAAAAGATTTTAAACAATTAAGAAGAAACTCCATGAAAGATTCCAATACCGTTGTTTATAAACATATTCATTTTAAAAAATTATCCGCGATTGTCTCCATTGGTCCCAGATATCCGCGGTTAATTCATACAGTGAATGCCTCCGAAGTGCAAGGATGCTGGATAAGCCACAGGGAAGTCTTAAATTCCTTGCTTAAAGGGAAAAGGTGAAAATTCTCAATTTAATACGGAAAGAAAAAAATCCAATATAAAGTTGTTCAAATCTTCGTGAAAAACTTTTATTAGAGGATATTTTTATAACTAGAATTTTTTTCAGGTGTGTTAAAATCCTCACGGTATTTAGTATTGTCGAATTTATCGCTAATATTTTTTTTCGAGATTTACAAACTCTACGTTTCCTTCAATTTCGCAAACCAATCGATGAAATTTGAATAAACTGATTTGTTTGGAAAAAAATACTTTGATAAAAACTTTACACCGTGGTTTAATAATTTTTAATCGTAAACAATAATTTTTAAGAAAATTTCTTTCTTTTTATTTTTACTTTTTAACAGCGAAGAATAAATTCTTAGGATTTCTTACTTTTGATCATACAACATACAACTGGTCAAGGGTAAATATTTCTTTCTAGAGCCAAATTCCAATTTTTTGTAGCGTTTAGCCTTGTAATTTGTTTATAGTTCACGCAAACGTAGGACAAACTGGAAACAGTATTTTGTATATAGAAACTTAAAGATGATTTATGCAAAAAACAAAATTGCATTTTTATTAAATAACTATTTTTTTAATATGAAGAAGTGTGTATATTTAATGATTAAAAAATCATTAAATTGTTTGTAAAATAGTGGGAGTATATTTCATGTTAAATAATGAAACTTTTAATTTTTCCGCAAAAATTAGTGAAAATTTATTGTACTAAGCTACGCAAATTGTACCTTGTACCTGCTTATCTGTTTGCACATCTTCACAAAATTTGATTTCGATCGGTCAATGTATGACTAATTTAGCGGGTGTGACGTACGGACGGACTAACGAAAGTCACAGAATTTTGTATATGGATAGATTCCATTTTAGTTCTTGTTACTTTTTTACTGTGTCTAAATTATGAATTAAACCTTTTCGTAGCTATTTACGTATTGACAAAATATATATATATATATATATATATATATATATATATATATATATATATATATATATATATATATATACGTTTAATCAAATCACTTGCGTGGGTTTTCTGGCGGTTTACCTTGATTCGTTTTTATCTGCTTGTCTGAATCATCTTCAAGAAGCGAGAGCAAGATCTAAAAGGTCAACTAATCTAACAGTGATCTCATTTCGCAATCCTCACACTTGCTCCATATGTGACCTCCTTTGTAAATCACTAGCGGGTTTTAAATGCCACTTAAGATTATCGCACAAAATTTCATAACTGAATCAATAAGCTGTCAGATCCTCATACGTCGAAACCGACGGGAGAGTCCATTATTATTATTATTATTATTATTATTATTATTATTATATAAGTTTTATATATATATGTGATAAAATATAGTTTTAAGGTATGCTATATTTATGGGTTAAAGTGTTCATTATCAGGGATAGAACGCATGTAAATATATAAAAGTGAACATTGAATTCAACATCCAGAGGCAACAGTCTGTTCGATGCTAAATGCAATCGTCATAAACTGATGATTGCGTTTATTGTTCATATAAATTTTATCTTTAAAAAAATTCAGTTGGTTAATAACATTTTTATTGCGAAATCTTTGACTTCCATCATAAAATCAAATATCGTTTATGATGTAAATAAACATTGAAATAACAATTTATTGACCCTGTACGTATCAGTGCAGAAAGTGGGATTGGCATATTGAGTTCAAATTCAGGACGAGGATGTTGCATTCGCTTTTGCACACTTCTTCATATCCCACCTCTTCTCAAACCCCGGCTAGACTGGTTTCTCTAATCTTGGTTGGTAAACAGACATCTGACAACTTGACTACGAAATCGGGTGGGCTAGCAACTCCACCCCGTAAAGATCCACAGAAATCACAGCAACAACTCAAGAGAGTTAAATGCCATAAAACTCTTATTATTTGTCTTTTTTATGAAAGCGTAAAGGTAGTTTTTAAAATATAGATACGACATTTTATCGATTAAGATTTTCATATACACGACGGGTGTAGAAAGTTCCTCGGCCTAAGTAAAAATAAAAAAAAATACCCCCCACACACACACTCCAAATTTAATTGTCCATTTTGCCAGATTTTGGGAAGTGGTTGAAGACTTTTCAGCACCTCCTCGTAAATTAGAATCAGAAAGTGTTTCCAGCTAAAAGGTATAGAAATATAAAGTGTCTCCCAAAATATAAGCACACTAAATACGTAAATGTCTGAGTATATATGCTCTCATGTATGTATATATACATATATATATATACACACACACTGGTCACTTGGTTAAGTAGACATGAACAAATATGAAAACCTGAAAAAAAAAAAAAGAAAGTCAATTAGTTTAGTCGATTTTCAGATGTTAAACATTTTATGGGATGAACAATTATGCTGTAACATGATTTGATAATTTTACTGTTACAACCGACACACACACACACACACACACACACA